TCACTTAAGTATAATTTAGTTTTTAAATTATTTATTTATGACTAGTTAATTAATTCTATTAATTGTTTAATGGCATTTTATTTATGAAATATAAATTTATAATGATAAATCTTTATTAAAATAGTTTGTATTAAAATACAATATGTGTTTAAAAATTACTAACTAAACTGAGGGGATTACGTAGAACATTTAAAATAAAGAACGATAGATTCCTTAAATTTAAAGAAAAAATTATTGAAAGAGTTTAATCATAGGAGTTGTCATTTAATTAGAGGTTAAATATAATGGAATGATGAGGTGTCAATAATATTAAGTTATAGTATAGGTTAACCGTTGGAGATGTTTTAAGTAGAATATTATTAGACGGTTATTTCTTTATAGGGTCAGATTGGTGAGGGATGGCCTCCCTTATATGCAAGCATGTAGTTTGGGATGTGGGAAAATAAGAAGAGAGTAAGTTAAAATGAGCATTATCCCCTAAAACTAGATAAAATCACAATTCAAGTATATGATCCTGAAACATTTATGCAACAAAATAACAAAGTAGAGTAAGTCAATGAGATCAATAATAATACATAAATACATCGGAGAAGCATGTAAGCATAGAAACTATGAAAAAATAGATCATAAGAAACACTGATAAAAGGGGTTAGGCTACTCATTAACCGTAATGTATAACCTTCACACATTCTTGTCTAAGGTCATGTCCTACAAACAAATTCATCCACATCTAACCTCACATTATCTTCACTTCCTTATAGGATGTCATATCATCTTTTTACCATCATCATTCATTATTTATTTAATCCTCCTTACCATAGTTGATGGTAGCCTCTTTGGATATGTCCATACTGTAATAACCCGAATCCCCAGGTATCTTCATTTCATATATTTTTGTCATTCTGTGAGGGGACTCGGCGAGTTGGTAGTCGAACTCGCCGAGTCGGGTTGCGTTTTTGAGCGGGGGTTCGCATCCGGACTCGGCGAGTCCAAGGGATGGACTCGGCGAGTCCGCGCTGTTTGATGAAACCCCAATTTCCCGGTCCTAATCCCTATTTAAAGGACCTTATGGCCCTCATATGCGGCCACCTTGAACCCTAAGAGCCTCCATACGTCTGTAAGCCCTTGTGAGTGTGTTTGAAGGCCTTTTGTTCATCATTTTGTGTGATATTGCAAGGAAAGGAGGGAGAGGAGCAAGCTTGAAGTGTTGGGGAGCTTAGATCTGTTGCTATTTCATCAAGGGGGTCTTCTTGAGGTAATTTTCTGAGCCAATCTTCGTGTTTTGTGTTGGTGGGCCAAATCTAGGGTTTCTTCTTGCATTTCTTGGCTTGAATAAGAAGTATGAGAGGTCCCATGGAGACATGGAACCTAGATCTGGACTTAAGCAGGTCTAGGAGACCCCTCATGACAAGCTTTATGTCCATTCTTTTGAGTTAGAAGCTAAACTTGCCAAATAAGTGGTTGTTTCTTCAAAATAAGCCTTGTATGCATTGCATGGAAACCAAGACTAAGACTTTACGTGACAAATAAGCTTGGGAAGGCCAGATCTATGTATGTATGGAACGGATCTGACTGCAAAAGCCAGTTTTAGCTGGTGCATGGCATGGACTCGCCGAGTCTGAAGAACAGACTCGACGAGTCGCTTGAAGATTGTCCTTGAGACCATCCTGTGTGTAGTCCGGACCGAGTTGTGGGCGACTCAGTGAGTCACAGAGAGTTGGAAAGGTTTTGACAGGTGGACCGAGTCAGGTTGGGACTCGCCGAGTTGACCTTCGACTCGGCGAGTTGAGTCGCGGTGGCCCTGTGATTCAGGCCCAGGTGGAACTTGTCGAGTCGGGGGAGTACGCAACGATTCAAAGGGAAAATTCTTGAGAGTTGGTAAAAACGCGTAGACTCGCCGAGTCGCTATTGTGCACTCGCCGAATCTGGTCCAAATTGTCTAAAGACTGCTGACCAAGTCAACCTGTGTTGACTTGATATGGATGGTCCACCTTAGTGGTACAAGTAATAATTATAGATTTATAATATCATAGGAGGATTGCAGCTCGAGGGTTCGAGCCCGAGTGATTCCAGGATTCACGATTAGCGACTTAGCGAGGCATACGAGGTGAGTCTTCTCACTATACTGTACCCGGAAGGGTTTTGACTGCGTGACCGGAAGCTCGAATATGATATGAAATATATGCCTTATGTGTGTTAAGTTATTTGCTATATGTGTCATGTATGATATGTTTGATATGGGCCGGAAGGCGTGGTCATATGGACTATAAGGGTTGACGTGGGTAGGACCGGAAGGTTTACCCAGTCGGGACGGAAGTCCCCTGAGACACATGGACCGGAAGGTCAAGGCCTGGAAAGGCGTATGTGCGTATGTTGTATTTTGTGAACTCACTAAGCTTTATGCTTACAGTTGTTGCATTATGTGTTTCAGGTACGAGTGAGGACCGTGGGAAGGCGCCAACGTGACCGTACACACACTCGGGGAAAACTATTTTATCTTTTGTTATGTAATCGGTTGTGACTACATTGTTACTTTGGATTCTAAACTTATTACTCATGTTTTGATGGTTGTAAAAAAAAATGAAAATTTTTGGTTGGAAATTTTATGATGTTACACATACCACCTTAATCGACATTCCCTCAATTTCTAGATGATTTGAACCATACCTAACAAAATCCTTATATTTGCATTCAGGATCCTATCTAGCAAAGTTTTGCCAAAAGTTCACATCAACATCTTCATTTCTTCTACTTCAATATTCATCTTATGATCTTTCTTGCTCGACCAACGTTTGGATACAACATGGTAGGCCTGACTGCTACCTTATACCCCCGCCCCAATCAGTTTCAATAGGACCTTCTTAAACAATTTAGAGCCTAGTCATATACCAAATCAGGACAGTGGAATCGATAACAAATAATGATTTATAGACTCGAAACAAGCGGATCAAACTCAAACTATCTATGAAAGTTAATGAATACAAAAGAATAAATCATACATTTTCTTTCTTTTGTGTTTTTCTTTTGATGATTTCAGAACCCAATGTAGAGTTCAACTCTTATAATCGCACCCAATACACAAATAAACAGCAGATCTGAAAGCACCACCAAGAACCAACACAAAACTAACTCAATCGATGAATCTGATCATCGCCACCATGTAGCAGAAAAGGTGTCACATTGTGGTATTGACACTTTGGGATTTGTAGGGTTTTCTCTAGGGTTCTGAACTTTTGCAGCAGAGAGGTATTTTTCTTACACACGAAAAGCAGATTTGGAGCCCTCTTTATATAGGGAGGTAATTTGATACCCTAAAGATAATTACCAAATATAATAATAATTATCTGGGGGCCCAAAGGCATCTACTTCTCCATTTCTGGAAGAATGACCAAAACATTTTGACTACATAAGCTAGTACTATTCCTCATGTAATCTAGTCAAACCCTGAATAGTTGTCAGTTAAGGACAATGTTGGGGAAAAACCAAGATATGATAGATTATAAAACAAAATTTTTAAGTATAAAACTTGAATGACGATTAGATTCAAACAAGTAAAAGAATCAAAACACAGAAAGAAGATCAATGTTGTGTCGAATGATTAATAATCACAGCCTTAGAAGCGTTCGATGAAAACCTGCTACTGTAAAGGTTGTGTAGGGTTTACAAGATTGACGATAACAAGATACGGTGCATGCATGCACTTTAAATAGTAAAACCCTGATAACAAAATAATCAGGTGGACAGGCCCAACCCGTTATACAAAAACAGACTAAAAACTTAATAGACAATGACGCAACCCATATAACCCAACAATCTCCCCCTTTACGTCAATTGAGGTAGGAGACCGTCACGGTTGAGTACGCCTCTGAACTTCAAAAAGCTTCGGAATGATGCTCAGCAAGGCCTTGCGAACCTGGATATACCAAAGGGTCATATCGGAGAAACACTTATTATTACCTTTACGATTCGCTTTACATTTATCCATAAACTCCAATATGTATTGCAAGCAAGAAGTGGAGTAAAGATGTTTATCAACAAGATAGAAACAAACTTTGTGGAAATCAGCATATGTTCGCTCTTTGAGTTGAAAAGCCATGCACCAGCCTTCCTTTCGTATTTTCCCAGCTTCATTTTGTCGAAATCTTCTGGAACTTCCTCGGGGAAAATAGTCGGCCTCTTTTGTAGAACAGTTGCAATCTCAACATCCATTTTGCCAACCTCTTGAATGTACAAAACTAACATTCGTTTGAGATGAGCAACAATGGGTTCATACTTTTGTTCATCCTTGAGCAGCATATTGAGCAGCGAAATCTAATTGTACGGGTTCAGGCAAGGTAGATCGGTAACTGTAAATTCACATACTTAAGTCGTAGAACCTCTAGCAACCTTAAAACGAGCATTTGAGAAGCTATCGGTTTCAATTGGACCTGAAACCTTCACGAATATTATCTTCTTCGCACTCCATGTTTCATACTGAGGCTTCATGTGCTTTAAGTAGAAGGAGAGGAGCATATGGTCAGCACCATTGTCCGTCAGAGTAATGTTCGCAACTTTGATGAAGTTATGAAACATGAAGGCTTTCGGTGTTATTGGAAGATCAAGTTGTGAAACTTGTGTGTTCTGTAAGTCGAAAGATGTAACAGTCTCTAACCAATATTGGCTTGGATTATCTACAGCCTCATTCATAATTCGCTCCAAAGTCCACAATGTAAATAAAAACTTCCTGCTTTCCAAAGTGAGTTTAGCTTCCCGATCAGTTTTCTCTTTCTATTTTGCTTCTCTTACAATGTGATTATGTTCATTAATTTGAGCTTCACGAGCCTTCCTTCGTTTCAACTCATGCTCATCGGGCTCATCTTCTTCACTATCATCGATAAGCTTTTCTTTACCTTTTGATTTCTAAGCTTCATTATCCTTTGGTTCATTTTCTGACTTTCACTTACAGTTGTATCAGCTGGTTTCGGGGTTTCTTTCGTAGATTGCTTTACAGTGTCTCCCCCTTATTTCGGAAATGTGCCAGACTCTGAAACACCCTCAAGCCTGTTGAGCATCGTAAACACAAGCCTAAGTTTTTCAGCCAGATGCTTCTTAACAGTGATTGTGACTAAAGAATCATGAGTCTCAATTATATATGAGAGTAAGGCATTCACATCGGCAATACAACTCTTCATTGTAGCTTTTTTAGATAAGAATTCATCTATTCGTGTATTAGCATGAGAGAGCTGGACAGATAAAACTTTCACCTTTTCTGTCTTGACTGCGAGCTTATCCATTATTTTGTTCTCCATAGCCAGGTCTTCATGAAGCTTGTCTATTTTAGAAGAGATGGAGGAGTGAAACTTTGAGTTGTCAATTTTGATGCCAGTGCGAACTGGCTCAAGATGATCCTTCTCGATATGAAGTGTAGATCCAAGACTAGTAATCACTACATTTACCTTTGCATTGTTCATCTCAAAAGAGTTCTGAAAAGTACTCATAAAGGATCGAGCATCAGTGATTAGTTTATCGACTTTTTTGGTCGTATCCATGCATACATAAGATGAAGCCTCAACAACTTGATTTGTTTTGTCAAGGTTCATAGAGTGTTCCTTCGTCAGTGTTTCAAAGAAGGCCTTGACAGTTTCTGAGAGTAGTCACCATGAGAGGATGTTTTGGTGGACTCAATTAAGCAGTCCAACTTTTCAGATAACACCTTTATGTCACACCCCCAAACCAGAACGGCGGAAACGTCCGGGGGTGGGTGACTTCATGTCAAGTATCACAACACATGCATTATAGTAATCAAAGTACAACAACCATTGCATTAATAATGTATAAGTTTTTACATAAGTGTTCGAATATTAAATATTTGAAATCAAAAAGTAAATAAAGTAAAAGATAAAAGACACGACACAACATTAGGTTGTATCTCAAAAGCTCTGGGAGTGTATTTGTCTACTGGATTCCCTGAGAATACAAGTTATTTTGAAAGAGAGGATCAGCATTTAAGCTGATGAGTTCATAAGTATTTAGTTTCTTTTATGGTTGCTTTAGTTTTAAGAAAGTGATTGATTTCGTTCCAGAAAATCCTATATTTTCTACCTTACAACTGAAAAGTAGTAAAGCAAGACTTTGGAAATTCCGTTTCAGTTTCAAATTTTCACGCGCCCAAATCTTATCCTTTTAAAATTGTGTTTCAGTTACACCCTCTCCCAACCGAATCAGATACGAACTTTCGCAATTAATCGCCATCAAGTGTTTTGAGAAACTGAAAGTAATCATGAGTACCATGAACCAGACTTTGGAAAATCACAAGGATCTTCATGCGAGAGTGTGCCAAAGATAAAGAAATAAATCAATATTATTCTATGGGATTCTAGTGATGTCTGTTAAGCCATGAAGCAGATGGATCTAGGGCAGTGATCTCTTCCTTCGGATTCAAGAAAGACTCTAAAGTGTATGTGTGGTGTCCCGTTGAATTACGATAATCTATTTGTTGAGAAACGTTGAAAGGCTTCTTTTCATTAAGCTTAAAGGGTGGCTTCCTCCCCAACCAAACTATGAAACTTGACATAAGGCTGAACGTTCGGATGAAGTATTTGTTTGACCAGTGTAGTCATAAGAACAAGTATGCTTTGGAATTATTTTAAGTGACTTGGATAAGTATAGAAATCTCAAGGAAAAAATAAAAATTAGATCTATTAGGAAGAAACATCTTAGGACTAGAACATTTCATTAAGATTGCACAAAAAGAAAAAGAGATTTCAGGGTGACCATGAATGTGGTCATTCATTAATTCCTTGGTGAATAAGCTAGAAAATTTAAATTGTTCACCGTCAATTCGTAAATATGTGTTGGATTTTGGGTTTCACTCAATTCGTGGTGATAACGAATTTAAGATCATAAACACATAATTTGTGTAACCATAAACCTCAATGGTAATATACGAGAGTCTCAAGGGTTACATTCAAGAATGTGAAAGTGATGGAGAAGTAGCAGGAGGTGGTTCCAAAGAAATAATGTACCTCTGCTATGCAAAAGTGACCAAGCAGTCAACTCTTAACTCAATGTGAATAGAGTAAGGTAGCTCATGACTTATGTGAATAAACAACCTATTTGGGAAGAAACGATTGGTGTTATCGATTCATTAAGGCTTCAACATAGAGTCTTTGAGGCTTCGGACTACATACAACGACATGCTTTTAGGGACATTTAACTATTACATAAATTAGAAAATTTATACCTGCCCCATAATTCATAATTGAGATTACCAATATATGTGGCTTCAAACCTGCTCAATTTATCTAATATTTTTGGTATTTTTGAATATTTTATGAAAAGAAATATGAAAAGAAAAATAAAGAAAATATTTTTGTATTTTTGTTTTTCTGAAAAAGAAATAAAAATAGAAAGAAATAAAATATTTTTGGATTTTTGATTTTCTGAAAAAGAAATAAAAAAAACATAAGAAAATAAGTAGCAATAAACAAAATGTACAAAGGATACATGAAGTTCCGAACCACAAATGAACAGTAGACTATAAGTCACTACGAACATTCGCACCAATTCGCAGGTCTATCAAAACCTTATGAGTGCGAAGGTGGTTTCGGAGCAGATTCAACCTCTATCATTCCTAAGCATTGAAGAATGCGATTAAAGTTTTGTTCTGGTAAGAATTTCGTGAAGATGTTGGCCAGTTGATCAGCGGATCTAACAAAGTGTATCTCAACATTTCCATTTTCCACATGATATTTGATGAATTGGTATCTCGGTGCTATATGTTTGGTTTTGGAGTGTTGTAGTGGGTTGTGACATATATGAATGGCGCTCTCAGAATCGCAATACAAAGGGATTCGCTTCATATTGATGTCATTGTCACGAAGCTGAATTTGAATCTAGATAACTTGTAAAGTACAAGAGGTAGCAACAATGTACTCTGCTTCAACAGTTGATAGGAAGACACAAGTTTTCTTTTTAGATTGCTAACTTACGAGTTTGCCATCAAGAAATTGACATCTTCCCATTGTAATTTTTAGATCTAAACTACGGCCTTCGAGATCAGCATCCGAAAACGCTTGCACAAAGAAACTTGAACTTGAAGGGTACCATATTCCTAGTGAGGATGTTCGTTTGAGATACCAGAAGATATTTTTAACAATAGTCATGTGGGTTTCACGAGGATTCGCTTGAAACCTTGCACAATAGCAAACAGAAAACATGATGTCTCGACGACTAGCTGTTAGATACATCAATGAACCTATCATTTGACAATAGAGTGTCATATCAGTAGTTGGTTTGTCCAAGGACGGTGTTTGTCACACCCCCAAACCTGAACGGCAGAAACGTTCGGGGGCGGAGGACGTCATGTACAGTATCATAAAAAATAAATAGTAAAGAAAGTATACACAACCATCATATACGTAATTGAAAAGTTTACATGATTGTAGTATTACATGTTTTCAAAATTCAATTACAATATGATGTCCAAAAGATTAAACTAACGCCTGAGCGTAAGTCTTCAAAAGTTGTTGCTAACCTGGTTTAGCGATTTCCTGAGAATACAAGTTATTTCAAAGAAAAATTGTCAACATTTAAGTTGGTGAGTTCATAAGTAGTGTTTTGAGAAAATGTATGCCATTCGAAAGTTCATGTTCATTTTCTAGAAAACCCAATATTTTCTTATAAGTGTATGAAATGGGTATGAGTGTTTGTTGTATAAATTGTATGTATTTGAACCAGGAAAATCCTATATTTTCCTAAAAGTGAGGTGTAGTCTTATATGAACCAAGACCATGAATGTAAGTAAATATGCCATACTTAAACTGAGAATGTATAGTTTTATTATTTAAAATAAAACTAGTTGTGGAAGTGTTTATCCTAAATTCTAAACATGCCAATAATGCCCTAGAATATAGTTATTACCCCCCCCCCCCCCCCGGAGCATGATTGAGTTGTGTATTACTACGTGCATGAGTCATTGTTTCCGCGTGTTGTGAGTTCCTCATAACCATACCAGACGCAATACCTAATGTTAACATTTATCACCCCGGGGACTGTAGCTAACAGTCAGGGTGCGGAGTCGTCAGCCCCGTATAGCTCTATACACGCTTGTCACGCTCTCCCTCCAAGAGACTCTGGTTATAGGTGGGGACTTTTGTTTGGTACAAACAAAGCCATATGACATCACATGATTTCTAACAACAAGTTCACGAGTAATATGATGAAAAATTGTTTGTATGAAATGATTTCCTTTTCAACCCTGTTACAAAGGCGTGATGATGACTTGAGTTTTCTTGTAAAAGTATCATGTTATAGTTGAAATAGTTACCCTTGATATGATGTAGTATGTAAACGTATAATTAAAACATATTTATATTTATAAAACATATTGTATCCCAAGAGGGTAAAGTTGTGTTGTGAGGTGTTTGGCATGATAACAACTTCATATGATAGTTAAAATAACAGTACGAAAAGTATAGCAAAAGATTGGTGTTTCACACGATTTTAACCGTGTGTTTACTTGTATTCCTCCCCCCCCCCCCTAAAAGTGTATACAAGCATTTACAAAACATTTGAAAACGTAGTTATAGGGGTATGAACTCACCTATTAGGAGTAACGATTTGATGAAAATGAGGCTTTGCTCGGGCAACACTTCGACTGGAAAGAAGTCGATTTCTTGGAATTCTCGGGACTTGCATCGTGTCTCGGGATGATACTGGGGCTTCGGGGGGGGGGGGGGTAAATAGGGCTTAAAGAGAGTATCGGGAGTAGGAGAGGAAGAGATGAGCAACCAAACTCGTCTGCCCCTTGAATTCTATTTATAGGGTGAATTTTCTAGGTTCACCTCGTGAGTTTCTAATGTTCACCTCGTGAGCTAGGCTCACCTCGTGAAATACATATGTTCACCTTGTGAGCTCGATACATCATTGTGTTTTTCACGGCCACTTCCCCTGGCAGACGTCCATCATCTGTTCACCTCGTGAGTCACTTGACAGCATGGGGTTTCGTGACCCGAACTTCAGAAATTCATATATTTTGCATACGAGCTCCGTTTTTGACGTTATTTATATCCACGCGTAGGTAAAAACACGATCTACAACTTTCATTTAGACTTCATCGGCTAATTTTCAATTTATTTTTAATATTATATTTTTAACAGGCCGGGACAGGAAAAGTCCGTTAAAAATCCATAACTTTTTCATCCGATGTTAGTTTTAGTCATAATTTTTACCGTTGTAATACTATTGATGAGATCTTCGATTCTCATTTAGTTCATGTTGGCAAAAAGTCTCTCGATCTCTATTTCGAGTTTTTAGCTATCTACTGCTACGTCCGAAACTTCGAAAAATCATAACTTCCTCATATGAAGTTAGATTTGGGCGTTCTTTTTATGTATGTTCATGGTTTTGGGATATCTATGACTTTCATTTAGATACCTAAGACTAAAAAGTATTTTATTGGAATTTCGCATTTTACACTTAACAGTGTCTTACCGGTATTGTCGCGGATCTTCGATTGGTCATAACTTCTTCGTTATAACTCGGATTTTAGTGTTCTCTATAGTTCCAAAAACCTTGTTACGATATCTAACACTTCATT